ATCATTAGCCTCATCCAGCTGCTTGAGGTATATATATAGATATCCAAATACATCCGGATATAACGATTCACATAAGTTGTAGCCACCTGAACAAATTTAACAGACTAATTGATATATCAACTGAAATGAAAACAAAAATATTTAAAGATTCAACTATATGGATTTTACAAAAGCAGTGATTACCTTTATTATACAGTCAAATAGAACATTCTTCAAGAACATTGGAGCAGCTGTGATAAGATTTTCCGCTGCAATTAACTGAAATCATGAGCTGAGGTAAATAATGACAATAGACCATAATAATGAAAACTGACACCGGCTAGACAGGACTAATATGTAATATCTTTAGGCCTAACCAATTATAGCCTTCCACAGACAACAAATTGATGGGAGCATCATACATAAGGCATGCCCTTTTCAGCCAGGCATTAATTTAAGTAAAATTGAAAGTAAAGTCACAATCACATAATTATGTTAAGACTAATAGTGACGCAGGGCTCCTTGGGTGGCCGGCTGAATCAGTCGGGACTGATTCCGGTCAAGCGGCCAGCCTGATTAGGGCAGGAATTGGTGTCCCTTTTCCCTCCCTTCTGCTTAATCTAATCCCTTCCTTACAGAGGATTCCCTTCCTATTCTATTGTTTACATGTTCCATCACCTTTCCTATTTCTATTTCTTTCAAATTCCAATTCCTTTTTATTCTATTGCTTGCCTTTTCCATCCCCTTTCCTATTTTTATTGCTTTCCTATTCTAATTCCTACTTATTCTATTGCTTGTCATTTATATCCCCTTTCTTATTTCCAATTCTTCCTATTCCAGTTCCTTCCTATTCTAACTAATAGCAAGTATTATATATGTGCTATGTAACTCGTACAAGGTGGTGATCTTCTCCAAAGGTTTGAGGGATGCTCCAACTGTAACTGGATCTCAAGGGGATAGTTATCTTTCATTTATTCTGGTTAAGGTTTGCTGCCATCTTCATGTCCTGCTGTCGTCCGTCAGCCAGCCTACTTCCAGTAGCTGGTCCTTCCATTTCCTGCTGTTAACCAGCCATCGAGCCGCCTTTTAGCAGCCGGCCCTTCAGTTTCCTGCTGCTATCCAGCCATCCCGCAACCTTCTAGCAGTCAGTCCTTCCGTTTCCTGAGCAGCCGGTCCAACCATTTCCTGTTGCAGTCCAGCTGTCCTGCCACCTTTCAACAGCTGATCCTTCTGTTACTGCTGCTGTCCAGCCATTGTCCAGCAGCCACACCGGCCTTCCCAGCCTTCCCAGCCTTCCGGCAGCACTGTCGCCACCTGCTGCTAGCTACCGGCCAGTCCTATAGTAGCTTCTTTTTTGCCCTCTGCATCTGCCGCCCTCATCTAGAGGGGGCCATTTATGTCTGTTATGTTGTTCTTTTTCTTATTTTGCAGCCGTTAATATTGTTTACTGTTTGCATGTTTTTGTGTTGTTTCTGTTGAAGAGTCATCTTGTACTTTCTTTGATGTTCTGGAATAATATTTGTTGTTTGGTCGAGATTTGGGTTAACTCTGGTATCATTTAGTATTAGAACTAGCCCAACCCTAATTCTATCCTAGGGTGCTCTAGCATCCGCCCTACCATGCCACCTCCACAAAAACGAAAATTTCTTCTCTTTTTTTCTCTTTCTTTCTTCTTTCGTTGCTTTCCCATCTTCAACTCACCTCCCAAACCCAAAACTTAATCATGCCACCACAAAGATATATGACGGAACCTACCTAGGATGATATACAACAGGATATTCATCTGCTGCAACAGAAATTGATCGAATGGGATGATGAGACCCAGAAATAGATCACCCTCGACCGAGATCAGGATAGTCAAAGGGGAGACAAGATCGAGGATTGAATCCGTTCCACAGAGAAGACATCATCGACGAGGAATACCGGCCATGCCGCATCGGGATTCATTATAAGTGGAGGCCGAGAGAGAGGTGCCAAAGGATAAAAGGGACTTCTGGAACTTCAACACCCTAAATCAGCTCACATATGGAAATTATAAGCACTTCGACATCAAAGTATATCTGCCAGAGTTTGAAAGAGGCTTGGATCCGAATGATTTTATTAATTGGCTACAATCAATGGAGCAAATCTTTGAATATAAGGATATGTTAGAGGATAAGCAAATAAAGTTGTTCTGATCAAATTGAAAAAGAGCGCCTCCTTGTGGTGAAAGAACTTACAAAGATAGAGGAAATGAGAAGACAACGATAAGATTACCAAGTAGGAGAAGATGAAGAAAGCCATGTAAAAGAAATATCTTCTATCTCATTACTGCTATGACAAGTTTTAAAACTCCACAATCTACAGTAATGAGACCTTTCAGTGGAGTTAATGGCTCAGTTTGACCATCTACGGATGAAATGTGAGCTGACAGAGTCGAAAAAGCACACTATAGCCCACCTGCTAATAGCAACGTGGTGCAACTACAACCGTACTGGATGCTTAGGGATGTTCAAACTCTAGCCCTGAAGGTGAAAAAACAACAGAAATGGAGCAGAGAACAGTAATCCTTCAAGCAATCACCTAACTATTACGACTGAGAAGAGTATCTCAGGAGGAACAAGTATTCCCGGACAAGGAAGTGACAGGCCAGATCAGAGTGGGAATAAACAGAAAAAGCGTAGCACTGCCAATACAATACAGGCCAGACAATGGACTCCAGCTATCCGACGAGCCGAGTTGTGTAATTTCATTAAGCAGGGCATTGTGGGGGAGGTTAGTGATGAGTCAGCTAAGGAACAAGGTGAGGCATATCATCACCCATCAGATGAAGGGGAGGCACTCGTGATTCAATAAGTTTTACAGGCCGAAGATACGAGGGATTCACAGTGACTTCGTCACAATATATTCTAATTCTGTTGTACTGTGAACAGGAAGGCGAACAGTCTCATCATCGATGGAGGGAGCAGTAAAAATGCGGCATCTACACTAATGATAGAGATGTTGGGACTCATGACTCGGAGGTACACCCAGCAATTTTCGCTGACATGGCTGAAGAAATAAAACGTGATCAACATTGATAGAAGGTGTTTAGTAAAGTTCTCAATTGAACACCATCTGCATAATCAAGTGTGGTGCGACATGGTTCTCATGGATGTCTGCCACCTTTTGTTGGGGAGTCCATAACAATTTGACCATAAAACTCAGCACGATGGCTTAAGAAACACCTACTCCTTCACCAAGGATGGAAAGTGCCTCATCCTTCTTCCTTCGCTAGAAGCCGAGATCACAAAAGTCCTTGCCAGCAGAGCAACATCAGTGGGATCAATTTTGGTGATGACAAAGGTTGAGGAGACTGACACACCATTGCCGGGCATAGGACAGCCGCGACAAAGAACATTTCGAGATATCACGATTGATATAGTACCAACATAGCCACCACCATTCGAGGAGGTTCAGACCTAGCTTAATTTAATAGGGGACCCTTGGGATGCGGTTCAATATGGATGAATGCTCAAAAATTGAAGAAAACTCCTGTATTTTGGGGACAATGTAGTTGCCAGTGGGACCCCAGTGAGGCAGGACAGCAGAAGAACCAAAAGCTTCTACGGATAAAGTCGAAGCTCTCCAACCTCGTGAGACCGACGCGGGGCTCCTTAGGCGGACGACTGAATTAGCCGGGACAAATTCCAGTTTAACACGAGGCTGGACCTACCGGGCTGCTTATAGCAGGAATTATCGTCCCTTTTCCATCCCTTCTGCCTAATCTAATCCCTCCATTAGAGAGGATCCCCTTCTTATTCTATTACTTGCCTTCCCCTTTCCTATTTTTATTTCTTTCCAATTCCAATTCCAATTCCAATTCCTTCCTATTCTATTGCTTGCCTTTTCCATCCCCTTTCTTATTTTTATTTCTTTCTAACTTCAACTCCTTCCTATTCTATTCCTTGTCTTTTCTATCCCCTTTCTTATTTCTACTTCTTTCAAATTCCTTCCTATTCTAACTACTAGCAACTATTATAATTTCAGTTTGCTGCCTTTGAGGCGATTCTCCCCTTTCATATTTCTACTTCTTTATAATTCCTTCCTATTCTAACTACAAGCAACTATTAAAATTCTAGTTTGCTGCCTTTGAGGCGATTCTCCCTTCCGAGGGATTCACTCGATGGCGAGAAGTGCTCCGGCTGTAACTTGTCCGAGGTTGTAACCTTCTCCAAAAGTTTGAGGGGTGTAACTCGATCCCGCGGGAATAGTTATCTTTCATTTATTTTGGTTACGGTTTGTTGTCATCTTCTTGTCCTAATATTGTCCAACTATTCAGCCGCCTTCTAACAACCGGTCCTTCTGTTTCCTACTGCTGACTAGCCATCCAATAGCCTTCCAACAGTCGGCCCTTCCGTTTCCTGCAGTTGTCCAGCCATCCCACCCCCTTCCAGAAGCCGGCCAGTTTATTTCCTGTTGCATCCCGCGGCCTTTCAGTAGCTGGTTCTTCCGTTCCTGCTACTATCCAACCATGCAACCGTCGTCCACCAACCACACCGACTTTCCCATCCTTCCCGCAACACTATTGCCACCGGCTGCCAGCCACCTGCCAGTCCTATAACAGCTTCTTTTCTGCGCTTTGGATCTGTCGCCCTTCTCTAGAGGGGGTCATTTATGTCTTTTATGTTGTTGTCCTTTTTATTTTATAGTCGTCATTGTTGCTTACTATTTGCATGTTCTTGTGTTGTTTTTGTTGAAGAGTCGCCTTGTACTTTCTTTGAAGTTCAACAATCATATTTGTTCTTTGTTCATGGTTCGAATTAACTCCGATATCAAATAATGGTCCATAAGTTCTTACACTAGTAAAATTAGCCCAAAATCAACCAGAATTAGGCTGCACCACTCTATCGACCAAATAAAATAGCTGCATAGAATAAAATGCTTATTAATGAGCACATATTTTAACTCCACCTTAGAGTCATATGTAGATAAAAAGCTGGTATAATATAAGACGAGCACCAACTGAGCTGACTCATCAAATAGATGCTAAAGATGGCTGGAGTTTGGTTTAATAATACCCCAATCCACAAAAACTTTTACATGGGATTGTTGTTTTAAAAAAGATATTAGGCTGGTGTTTGTAAAAGTGGCCAGTAGAGAAGAACAAGAATTTCATCTCTAGTAAAGCTCAGAATTGAGGAATACATCATACCTTTTGAATGATAGGAATGTTCTAACAAAAATTGGAATGAGTAAAAAAGCGTACCTTTTTAATCATTTGTTTTATTTCATCTCCAGAATTGGAATAGGTAAATTAAGCGTCATACAAATTATAAACTCTTGAAACATTACATTGACAGACAAGTTGGGGCAACATCCTCAAAGCTGCTATGTTCAAAAGCAAGAGAAGAACCTGTGATCATTGATATCTCCTTGATAAGCATATAATGTTGAATGAAGATAGCCAATAAGTGTATCGAAGACATTGTATAAGACTGAAAGACTTCTTCACTGTACACCAAGCCGCTGTAGTTGGAAGCGGTATAACCAATGAAACTTTATTCCACAACGTTAAGAACCAAGCCAATCATACCTGTTACTTGGGGCCAAATTCCGGCTTTTATATCACACAATCAGCTATTAAGACCTTAACAAAGAAATAATCAGAATCTCTTTGCATAATTAGATGCCCAGAGTGACATTATTCCAATTCTTCTAGGCTGTTTGGAGCTTAATGACGACTTCTTTACAAGAAAATTTAAAAAAAAAGTATACACATATTGACAATTAGGAGTTTCATTTGATATTTACTGAAACTCCTTAAAATAACAAAATTTTGACACTAATAGGTGCCTGAAATTTCATCCCATTGCAAATGCTTTCAGATCATTGAGCTTCATAACTCTCTGCTTCTTCTGCCCATGTACAGAACCTCGAAGGTTATCCGATGGAGGCACAGATTTCAGCTTTAGTTCCTTGGTCTCTATCATATACTCATTAGTTTCATCAAGCACAGTAAAATCAGCAGGATTTCTGTTAACAACACATATTTCCATCTTACAAAAACCCAAGGGAAGAATAGCATCAACTTTATTGTTCAACTCACCTCGAGTTGTACCATCCCTAACTAAGGAAAATCTTGTATTTGATGTGGAAAATCTATCAAAATCTCTATCTGGGCCAATTTTTGCAGAGCATTTGCATCTAAAAAGAGAGTTACAAGAGTTCCATGTCGAAGTGTTTGGGTTCAAACAAGAAGTTTTTATTTTCTCATTCACATTAGCATTAAGAAATACCTGAGAACTCTTGGTAGGTATTCTACCGTCCTTTGACATATTAAAGATCTCCTTTTGCAATGAAGGTCCTAATATTCCAATTCTGGGAAGTGGTCGGAGAGGCAAGCAGGAATTTCTTGGTTGGCATGGATTTGGATTAACTTCCAAGGGATGTAAGCCGAGCTCTTTTCCTTGGCTTCCATATGTTAATTGTGAGTCATTATATTGACCATTGAAACACGTGTCCTCCTTAGTAAATCCTGAATAACTTCGGTAAGGATGTCGAGGTTCACCAGACCGTGCAGATTGATCCATAAGCCTTAGCAAATTCAAAGCAGATATGGTTTCATTGCTGTAAAGGTCTGCCGGACAAAAATTTGAATGAGAATGATTTGCTAATTCCATGAAAGACGAAGCATTTGGAGCTGTTCGGGAAAAGCCCCAATGGTGTTGCTTTCCAATTGGGTTTCTTGGCATCTCATAATCACATGATGGAGGAAACATTTTCAGATCCCTTCCATGGACTGAACCATTCAAATTATTCAAAAAATAACTGTCAACTCCAAAGGATGTACCGTTTCTACGTTGTATCACTTCATAATGGAGATTTCTGGATAGATTTTCACAAGCAACTGTCTGATTCTCAATAATTGATTGTGAAGACTTCAAATTATTGCTTCTGCAACAGGAGAAAATTGGCTGATGGCCATTACTATTAATGTCCAAATTACCAGATGCTGCTCTAGTAATTAAAGAATCACTATAACATTGGTTTAAATCAATCTGAAGCATTTTCTTTCCATTGATAGAACAATGGCAAGCTTTCGGCTCCTGGTCAATCCCACCATTACATGGGAATGTAGTCCTAACATCAAAACCTTGGTTGTTGACTTGGAATGTTTGCCATGAAAGATTCCCTTGTTCTGCATCTGATAGTTTTTGTCTGTTTAGTTGAGAAGAATCGAGACCGAAAGAGTAATTGATGTTTCCAGTTATTGTGGGGAACATAAGCTTGTTTGTAGCATCAGTTTCAGCTAAATGGTGATCTCGGTCATGCTGATTCCTGGCTAATAATTCAACAATATCCATTGGAAAATCATCTAGAGCTTCTTGGTCAGTAGACTGCATGTTTTGTGGCTTCTTTGATGCCTTCTCCCAAACCTTGAAAGAAGCTTTATTTTGTGTAGAAGAAGAATCCTGTAAGTGTTGATAGCCCGTTATTAGCATAAAGCAATGAATGTTGCAAAAAATATTAAAAATAAAATCAAATCCATTACAATCTTGAGCATTGAATGTTAAGTAACAGTCTTAACAGCATTAAGTTGAGTTTTTTTATGACCATGTTCGTGAATTAGATTTTCATATAAAATAACCTCAAATTTCATAGCAAAAATGCCCACAAGTTTGACAAAGGAGAAAAGGATGACCTGTTGTTGCATTGAGCTATGCTTTTTATGCAACAGGCAAAACTGAATTGAGTTGTACCTTTCTACCGCAGATAAGATATTAGATTCTGTTATAAAATGACTTCAAATGCCATTAGAAAAATGCCAAAAAACTTAGAAAAGGACAAGCTAGAAGTAGCACACCCTAACTAACCATTCAATGATGAATGGGAAAGAAGAACATGCAAATAAATGTATGAGCAAGTGGGCATGGATAACATTAAGACATATTAGAGAAAGTTAGGTTAGATACCTTTGTACGGCAAAATTCTATTCTGTCATTACGAGGCTTTTTATTTATTATGCTATGTAAGATAGAATTTTCTCCTTCTCCAAGTGGAGATTTCTTGCCAAAATTCTGTGTTTTCTCCATGATGACTGTGTTTTTTTTACTAATATCCTGGGAACTGAAATTCTCGGACATCATTTCTTCACGGATCAGAATAGTTGATGCCACTTGGCCATCTTTGGGTGATAAAGTTTGTTTCTGATTAAAAGCATATTTCTGCTTCTGTAAACTCACAACACTATCTCTGACATCTACACCCCGATCCTTGCTACCAGATAAATCAGCAGAAAAGTTGGATGGAAGAAAGTTACCATTGAAATGATTGGTATGTGCATCTATTTCATAAGCATTTGCTTTTTTAGGAATTTTCTTCTTCAGCCAATGCATCAGCAAAGGCCCGTCATCTTCATCATAGAAGTCTTCATGTTTGTCTTTCCTTTTAACAGATTTAAGTTGATTTCTTTGATGAGCACAATGATTTATCCTATCCATATGGGTAACAGAATCACACTCATACTCATATTCATCCAAGGAACTTTGTAATTTGCTTTTGCCTCTGACAGACTTTGAGGCATTGTTTTGATCAGCACTGTCATTTGCGTGATTTAAAAGAACTTTCTCCTCTGATGTAATGTGTCCTCTTATGAAAGCATGCTGAATAGTCTTTGCATCTCTATCTAGAGTATTTCCAATCGTATGCTGTGTTTCACTTCTTATGATATCTTCCAGAAAGCGAACTTTTCTAGCCTTCTTATTGTGCTTGTTTTCAACCTCATTTTCTATTTGATGTTTATCATCAGTAACACCCATATACTTTGAGCCATCAACAGATGCTCCACAGATTCTCTTATCTTGGCAGCAGGCACCACAGCACAATGTATGAGCTGGATCAGCATCTACAACATCATTTTTTCCAACAACCATATCTACCTTTGTATGTCCTTTCATGAAATCATTTTTTGTTCTCTTTTCTACCCTTCTTCTTTTAGGCGCCTTATATTCTTCTGACCTTTGTAATGTGAACTTGAATCTGATGGATGTGGCATCTCCACCAAGTAACTTGGAATGACCAATCTTATTTAGTTTAGTTTCTTTATGCTTGATTAAAGCAGTGCTTAAAACGTTTTTTAGATAGGCAACCCCTAACTTTTTCCTGCCAACAGAATTTCTATATTCTCTTTTTCTTTTGTTGGGAGCAATGCGTCCATTAGAAACACAGTTAGCTTTGCTTACAACAATTTGAATCTCATTTTGACTATCCTGATCACCTTTGTGACCTAAGAAGAAAATAAGCAGAAATAGTGCTAATTAGAACACAAATTCAGATGAGAAAATTGTCTTAGGGAGCAAGAAAAACCTTTACCTTCTTCCATTGGATACCTTTGTAGACATTCATTTTCTTCCTTTCCAACCCTGCTGATATTAACAAAACAATCGTTTATCTTTAAGATTTCTTTTAGGTTGTTTTCTTTAGAAATTTGTGGCAGTTTAGACGACACTTTTCTTGCATCAAGCTGAGACCTTTCAGTAGCTTTTCCCAGCAATGAGTTATTGTTACTTTTCTCATCTTCATTTTGTACACTCATAGCTCCATCAGTAGCCATCTGGGCTGTAGAAGCAATGACATCACAAACACAATTCTGACAACCCCACCACCTAAATTTTGCAACAGGTAGAGGAGGACACACATTGGCGGTTTCCAGTGATGCATAATTATGAAGCAAAAATGGCCAACAATTGTTGATATCTCTTTTGCGAACCTCAGCAACATATCCGCTGCATCAACAAATGAGATGACTAACCATAAAACAGCTTTACTAAATTCATATGCTTAACATAGACAAGCCATTAGAGAAATATTAGCAAAAGCAGCAAATCTTATAGGTCTATTAACTGCCATTTTTCTAACAGTAATTACAAAATTGGAAGAGAATAACGCATCATGAGTATCAACTAGTTTTTCATCGTTGTTCAACAGAACATCTAGGAAGATAAAACTGTCCAACCAGAAGAAGATGAAAAAGATAAAAGAAATTTTCAACAAAACCATGTTGGCATGCATGCACAGTCAAAAAGGCAATCGAAGGGTGGGACAAGAAAGCTATACAGACACCCCACACAATAGATTTCCGAAAAGTAGTAACAATTAAACAAAAATACATAGGATGGGACTGAGAGATGCATGTTTTCCAACAGTTTTTTATTTAAAAGTTTACCGAATGGTAAAATGCTTGCATTCATTTCGCTGTTTTTCATCATCAACCTCAACGATCTTATTGGCTTTTGATGCTACTGGCGAATGCGCGGAATTGGTAATGATGGCAGTATTCTCAAATCCACAATGGGGTTCCTGTAAGAAACTTACTGCCATCCCATGAAAATAAGAATATAGTTTTACTGTCCAGCACAACCTGCATGAAGAGGAAAACAGCTTAGTTACTCATTTTCTTACCTAGAAAGATGTTTTTGGCTGGCAACACATCAAAATTTATAAACTTGAAAAGGTGAACACCAAAAATTCATTGACTAATGCTTTATCTGCCAAAAAAATTCAACACTAATTCAGCACATAAGACACGTAAATTGAGTTTTGCAATCCACTACAGATAGTGTCATACCCTGTGGGTTCCAACTTGTTCAGTTGGAATGAGATCGATTCCTAGCTATCAATTAATATATAAGGAAGATTTGCATACATACCACTCAATTTCTATGTATTTACATACCTAACACGTAAACTTCAATTTGTACATATATGTAATCTTACCTATGCATGAAAAGGTGTATTTCATTTTTCAAAAGTTAAAAAAGTTGTATTTTTTAAGTTATATGAAAAATTTGGATGATATAAATCTAAAAAATAAAATTTAAGTGTTAGGTATGTAAATACATATGACTTGGGTGGTAATATAAAAATGTGCTTATAGTTTTTCTTGACTTATGTTTTGACTTGGTGACAAAGTTTTGGGTGAATAAATAATTATTGTAATTCATTTACTTCTTAGAAGGTATGATCAGATAATGCTTTAAAAGTCCATATGGTCAAAAACCAAAATATGAATCCGGCACATATGGAAAGGGTTTATTTCTAGAATTATAAAATGTATGTACATAATAAATTCAAATACAACAGCTTTTATCTAAATTTTGGCAGTTAACCAGCCACTCATTTGAAAAAAATAACAAGATGAGAATGCGAGGCCCATTATGAATAACAAAACCCATCATCTTCAAACTTTTACTCATCATTACATGAGTATGGCAGTTCAGATAACCTAAGAATGCATAAGGAAAGAAAAAGATATATGGCAATATCTAAGCAGCTGTCAATCCCTAATCCAAAGCCCAAAATCATGAATATTTACTCAATGCAAGAAGATAAACGTGGGAAGTAAATCTGAGTCAGACATTGACACACAAAATAAAAGTATTCATCTTATAATATTCAATATCATCTAACATATGGTAAATATCTCTTCTAAAATAAACCGATCAATCAGCGAATGAGGAACTGTTCAGTAAGAAGATATAATGAATATGATACGAAAAAGATTCTTCAAGCAAACGACCCAGTGCCACATGAAGAGCAAAAAGTCTGAATTGTTCGCACTTGATTAAGTAACAATGCTCTCCTCGCTGTTTTCAATAATCAGTAGTTCCTGAAAAGTAACCAGCTCGATCATGGCTGGCCACAAGAAGCAGGAAGAGAACACCGAAAGATAAAATCAAGTGACCCTAGAGGAAGAGAACAAGTAAGGCGACAACAATATCACATAAGAATTGGCGTCACTGGGAATTCAAATAAGCCCTGCGCCGTGCTCGAAAAGATACCATGTTCCTCAACCTCACCTGATCACCGTCCTCCTCCGAGAGAGAGAGAGAGAGATCACCGTCCTCCTCCGTTGCGGAGAGAGAGAGAGAGAGAGAGAGAGCGAGTGAGCGAGCAGCACACACAAAGATCAGAGGGGATGAAGGAAGTATACCGTTACTGTTGCCGGACACCGACTACAGATCGGCAGGGTCGCCGGAGAAATGGAAAGAATGAAGGTTCGGCTGCCGCAAAGAATCAAATGGTCCGGCTAATCGAATTGGGAAAGCAGAAGCCAGTCGAGCACCTTCAGTCGCACGGGACCTGGTGTAACGTGAAGGGAAAAGGAAATTCTAAAATAATAGAAATTTTCTATAAAATAAATATATTTATTTTATTTCACAAAAAGCTAATAACTGAATATATTAAATTTATTTTTTATTTTTAAAACATTTATGGATGAAAATATTATTTATTTTATTAGAAAATTTTGACTTTATATGACTCATAATACTCCAAATTAGTGAAATTTATTTGATGTTTATTAACATGAAAAAATATTTTAAAGTTTATTTCTAATTAAATTATTTCTTCAGTTATAATAGTAATAGTTCATCTAGAATGGTATTAGTTCAAATTTAATTAATTTCAATCAAATTTAAAAAAATTAGCTAATTTGAATTAGGTTTGGCTAGAGTATGACTCAAGTTCAAGTTTTAATCGACTTGGATATGAACCGTGTTTGAATCCAATTTGAATGTATTTGAATCTCGGTCAAGCCTAAGTTATCCATGATAGATAGGAGATAATCCAATCTTAGTGGCTTATACAACATATTACAAAAGTAAATACAACATATTGCAATCAAATTGTTATAGCACAATAAATTGAAATTCAGAAACTATAAGATAATTGAGAACCATCTAACAATTAGAACACAAAACAGTGCATATTAAAAGGTATAGCTCAATTGACCTTAATGGAAATTATCAATCAAAGCATATATAATACGTATATAGTGTATAAATATATATTAATTTTTTTCAAGGGTTGAATTGGTAAAATATTGAAGCATATTTAAATTATGATTATTAAGGAGAAAAAAATGAGGGATTTTTTTCCTATTTAATCTTATTTAAAAAAAGAAGATTGTATTCAGGGAAAATTACAAAGGAACACACAATTCTTATGGATTTACGCATCTCACATCTAAAGTTTCGTTTTTACACACACACACACAGTACTTTACCTATAGATGTAAAGATTGATTTGACTATAAAAATGTGATAATGAGTGTTATTTTTATATGTTGCTTGTAAGTATGAAACTTTTCTTTTTTTGTGTGAGATAAGAAAATTCAAAAGAATTGGGTGCTATGTATTTGAATGCCCCTTATATTTATTTTTAAATTTTAGATTTTCTCAAAAGACTTTTTTCTTCTTTCTTTGACTTATATAGGCCAAGGAGAGGAGGAAGGATGGGGGAGAAAAAAAAAGTTGTCCCCATCCTCGCCTGACTTGTGATTTTTTTTTTTTATCTTCTTTTGTGAAGAAGCAAAAGAAATTTGTCACAAAAGTTATCCTCGATTTTGTTCAGCAAGACCTTCGGGATCTTCTTTTGCTGTCTTCTTTCAAGAAAGCCCTCCCGAAAAGATGTAAGACCTGTCCTAGGTTGTATAGCTGGAGCATTTGCTTGGCATCGTTAACTTCTAATGGAAAATCATATAAAATCCACCAATGATGGTTGACCTATCTGAGATTGTTAGTTGAAGCTTTTGCTTGATAGTCGTAACTTATTATGAAAAAGTTCAAAGGAAATTCACCAAGGGTTTTTAACATATCTGAGGCTATTGGTCGAAGCTTCGGCTTGATGACCATAACGTGTGATGGAAAAAGTTAAATTGAGTCCTCTTGAGATCAATTAGTCTTTAATAAGGAGTTAGAGATGATGTACGTTTCTCAAGATTGAGACGTAATTTGCAATTGACTGAAATTTTTTAAGAATATGGTAGCAATCATAATAAAAAATGGTGCTGACAACTTGCTTGTTGCTGCTTTTGAATTTGTTGTCCTTCAGCGAGGGCGTTTTCCACAAGGCCTTGTAAAACATCCCATGTATTGAATATTGAAAAGATCAGCTTCTAGGTACAGTTGAAGTGGAATTATACTATGGTGAGGGTGCTGAGAAAGCGTTATTTGTGAAATTTGTTAGCTCTGAAAGTGACTGTAGAAGACTTGATGTCTAAATTAAATATGGAATGCCTATCACGCTACATTTGTGCCAGAGATTTTAATGTGAATCATCTATTGAGACTGCAGTGAAGGTTGCCCCCTGCAGCCTAGAGGAATTTGTCATAGACTTTGTGTCTGAATAAGATGTGAGAATATTACCCCACTATAATCATACCTGAGACGTTGACATGAATGACCTTTCGAGACTGTAATGAAGGTCACCCCCATATCAAAGAATGTTTCAAAAATAAGCTTCAAGAGGTGCAGAGAAGGTTCCTTCGCCAGTTGAATGATGTATATCATTGGAAAACGAGGTAGAGGCTTGAAGTCTCATATTTGAAGATAGTGTCGAGCAAAACTTTATTTTCTACAGACAACACCAAATTGATGCATGCTAGAAAAATCACTGCAATAGAGTAATGAATTATCGTTTTAGCATTGCATGAAAGTTAAGCACACACTTTGATAAAAGTAAACAACCATTAGCAACACAATAACTTTTTAAGTGAAAAACCATTGCGATAGCCAACATGGGGGAGCTCAAGAGGAGTCCCTATAGGACCAACACATGTAGGATCCAAAATAGGGATTATCTTGGTCTCATAGCACCATAAAGGTAATTTTGTGATTAGCTTCCTCATTAAACCCCAATTATACCAAAATTCCTAATTTTACCGAAATTCCCAATTTGACCTTTTAGCCCTAAACTTTTTCATAATTACCAAAATACCCCTGGAACCCTAAAGTTCTCAAAACTACTCAAATCCTCAATATATATCCAAAAAACATCCCAAACCACTCAAATTATCCAAAATAGCCCAAAATTCCCAAAATACCCCCAAAATTTCCAAAAATTACCAAAATGACCCTCATGGCCCAAAAATTCCCAAAACCTCCCAAATCATTCCAAACATCCCCAAAACCAATCCTAACCACCCATTGGGCCCAATTTGAACAAATTGAGTAATTTTGACCAAAATCCCAATTTTACCCTTAAAAGACCAAATTCACCCCCAATTTTCACCAAATTGATTTCAAACTTCCCCAACTTCAAATCCAAATCAAATTTCATCATGTCCCAACCCAATTGAAATCAAATTCTAGCACAATTTAATCCAATTTCAAGTCCAAATCCCAAGCCTAATTCAAATGCCCCAAAATTGTAAGAAAAAATTCTAGCAAATTGAATTCTTTAAACCATTCAATTTCACCAAATTCACTCCCTCCACTCTTCATAACATTTCCCTAGACCAAATTGAACCCTCAATTGATCTAGAAACAAACTCAAACCAAGCCTAAATTAAACCCAAACCAAAACCCCCAATTTTGCCTATAAGTCCAAATTCCTCCAAATTGAACTCCATAACCTTTCAATTTTAATCCAATTGACTTCCAAATGCCTTATAACAATCTTCTACAACAAATTGACCAATCAATTGACCTAGATCCATGATCTAGCTAAGGCCAAATCCTAAACTCACTTTGAGCCACATGGTCTAGCCCAACTTGGACCACCACAACTATCATTTTGACTCTAGGCTAGGGACCAACCTAGATCCTACCTAGATCCTCTTAGCCCACCCTATAGGTGCCATGGACCAAGGGTCCCATGGTTTGGGGGATATCTTCCCATATTTAGCTAAATGACTCGAGTTTTGCATCACTTAACTAAACCTCCATCCTAATCATAATTAAACTTCCCTCTGGATCCTCGACCCAGCTAATCACCACCTCAGCCTTGGCTAGCCACCCTAGTAGTCAGAGAGCTCAAAACAGAGGAGGCTACCCCATTTTTGAACCCAAAATTAAGCTCATCCCTTGCGGCACTTCCCCATTGGATGCTCGCACCGCTCAACCCTCCACCTCAGCTTCTAGAGACCAGGCAATAAGAGCCCAGGGCTCACCCCTCTTTTGTCCATTGAAAGAGATCATCCAATTCCTTGGAGAGATTATGCCAAAATCCTTCCAAAGCCTCTTCAAGCCTTCCTGGGTCCAATCTCATTGTTCCCAGCCCTCCATATCCATTGTCCTTCTGGGATTTTGAGTTCAAAATTTATGGCATTTTCTGTCATTCCGCAAACCTTCACCAAACTCCGAATTAACTCACCCTTAAGCTTCCTCAGACCAAAAGAGGAAGTTTGCCAATGAAAGCCCTTTCTATTGAGCCCTCTAACCAACTCCTAGACCAAATTCGCAGCACCTGTTGGTCGAAGTCCTGCTTAGACTCTATATCAGAGGAAGGCGGCACTTCGAGGTCGTTTGTTACACTCTACTAAAGCTTCCACAAGCACCCAATCGAGGCCTCACCTCTTGGGCAAAGTTATATTTCAAAACCCCTAATTTTAGGCTCAATTTCATCAATTGTGAAGTAGACTTGTGTTTCATGCTTGATCAACCGTATAGATAGGTTCGTCTTGACTAGATGCAGCTATAGGAACAAACCCCATGTGATTTGGTTGAGTATCGAGTGAGATCTTAGGTCTTGAAGTTGGATGGTTCTCAGTTTAGATCAGATGGGGACGATGAATGGATGCCATCCATTTGCACATGTATTGATCGGATGGTGGAGAAGAAGTCGGATGAGCGATCGATTCATAAAGCTCGGGCTATGTCGCAGCTGGCGAGAAAGGCGGCATCAAATGAGAGTGCGTCGCGTGTGCTTTCGGACACGTCGAGGTTGACGTTAATGCCGCGTGGATAAGTAGAAAAATAAGGCTTTTTTTATTTATTTAAATTCAAAGACTTTAAAAATCCATAACTTAGTGTAGAAAATTCATAAAAATAAAATAAAAATACCTTGTTGCTCAGTGAACTGAGGAAAAAAAATATGAACCAAAAGTAAAACTATTTATTATGTATTTTTTTTAACCAATTAAATACTCCAGAGAGTATTTTAATTATATTTAATTAAATATTACTCATCTTGGTTTGAAATTTGGAGAGCTTATTTTGCATGTGGTTAAATATGTCCTCTGGTTTGTCCGAAGTCAAAGAACACCTCTAACCCTAAAGCCTTAATCTTTAAGACTAGTTGTCTATTTTTGTTTAAAACAATTATATAAATTGAAATAAAAGTTAAAAAAAAAGAGATTTATTTT